AACATAAACCATGTTTTTAGTATACATCATGTTAAAAGTAAGGATAGTGGTTTTAAAGTTCAAAAATTAGGTTTTTATTAAAATCTTTTTATGATTTAATTAATTAAATATATTAAGGTCACAAATTAACGATTTAATTATTCACATTTTATATTTCTGTCACAAATTAGAAATTTTATATCTCATAAATTATGTTACTGTCACAATTCAGAAATTTTATAGACCACAATCTGTTCATCAATTTGAAATCAAAAATTTATACGTCACAATTTATTTATTGATCACAAATCACATACATTATAAGTCACAACTTACTAGACAATCACAAATTGTCAAATTATCAATCACAAATTAAAATTTTTTTAGGTCACGTTATTTTTTAGTCACAATTTATCTTTTTCATTGGTCACATATTATTTATTGCTCACAGATCAACCAATTTAATGGTCACAATCAACCAAATAATTTGTGACCACAACTAACACTTGTGACTACCACCGCACCACTCCTTCCAGCAGCACCACCGCCACCTTCGCCACCGAACCACTACCACCTCAAACAAATCAACACATTAGAAAAAACACCACCACATCGTCATGTTGTTCCACCATCACCTCGACAGACCTATCGCCGCTGCCACCACCAACAAAACCACATCCACTATTCATCCATAGCCACGGTAACAACCCCCGTCATAGGAAAATACCAACTGCAACCATGACCTGCAAACTGCCATCGCAGTGCGCAAATCTGGGCGTCGTGACGATGCTTCTATAGTAGCACTACAAAGATTTGGCCTAAATTAAAAAATGCAATTGAAACAATAAACTTCACTATTCATCCAACACATCTACGGTAGCGTCGTTGAAAAATAAGGGCCGTAACCACGACACCTAAGGCATCAGCGTCACCTGTAACCCGCAACGCGAGCAACCTAACCCGACACCACCACCACCTCACCACTGAGCGTGCAACACAACTCCAGCTTCGCAGCCTGTGAAGGCCGCTACAAATTGACATAGTGACACGGCATCGAGGTGGCTTGCGAGTGTTCGCTGGAGTAGAACAGGGAGAGGGAATGAGGTGAGGCGACATAGCAACGTCGCCAATAGCGACCTGTGATGGTGGTGGTGATGTCAGGTTGCTTTGTGCGGCTTCACTCTAACGACTTCGAGAGGCTTCATTCCGATGTTCTCAGGTCGCTTCACGACGGAGAAAGGGTGAGAGGTGAGAATAGATAGAGAGAAGTGAGGTAGTGCTAGTAGTGGTGGTGTTGGCGAGGTGGTGTAAGCGGTGGTTGCGCTGGCGGTATGGTGGAAGCGACGACGACGGATGGCTAGAGAGAAGGTGGGATAGAGTCATAGAGAGAGAAGAGAGAAAATGGTGAGGATGAAATAATTAGAGTTTTGGTGTGTGGTTGGGTAGAATGAATATGTATATTT